CCCTTCCCGTGTCGCGTCTGTATCTCCCGGTAGAGGGCAGCAAGAGGCATATTTCCAAGCGTAATTTAAGCAGAGATGTGCAGATGTGCTGACGGGCTTTTGGCTGGGAGTGTATCACTTCAGACCTCACGAATAATGCGAGGGCTAGTGGCAAGGGCGAACTACCACCGGGGAGGCACAGAGAACACCGTGAGGCGGTACAGAGGCCATCCTGTCACGCATCCGCAGGATATCGAGACACAGCAGTCAGATTTGTATTTTGACGTTAAATTTACATACCCTCGACGTCATAACAACCCCTCAAGATAACGCTGCCTAGACCTAGGCGCCTCCAAGTAGGCAGCAGTTGTCATATCATTAAATGCGTTCCCTACAATAATTACTTTAAAGCGACGACATATTTGCAAAGATATCTTGGCACCCTTCTGTATCTCCACCCAAAAGGACAGTTAAACTAATCAATGCTACGCGTCTTATTATTTTAGAGGAGGGGGCAGCTTTATTTGTTCCGCTTCAGGCAGCAATGTTTTTGGTCCTTGATCATTGTCGAGATAACAGACCTTATCTCACCATTGGACCATAAAATTCAGCGAAGAAGTCTGTTCCAGGAGTAAGTGTCAACTGCTTTGCAAGACAGATGTTACCAAGGTGACAGAGACCAATACTGAGGACGTACTGTATTACGGTGCTCTCTTCTCACTTCCTTGCCTTCGAAAACATGACATGATTAATGACTGAATGCGCAACACAGAGGTTATCTGATTTGGGTGTCATTTCACACTATACAATGAAAAGGAAAAACGTCTTCTGCATTATAATGCAAAGGCATTAGAGGATTAGACGGATACTTGGTATTTCTTGTTAACAAACGTTGTGCCTTTGAAAAGTTCTACCTGCAACTAAGGTCGTTGTCATGCATGCTCCTTAAAAAGCAGTGATAAGAAGGTTGGTCAAGCAAAAAGCATCTTTAGCACATCGGCATCTGTTCCCACCTCACCTCTCCTCTGCCTACTTTGGCTAAAATCAGCAACAGAAAGTAAGGCTTTAACAGATCCTTCCAGCAAGTTTATGCAGTGCGAGAGCGCAGGGAATCTGTCAAGTCAGTGTCTTTCACGGAAAGGTGGATCCGAATGGGCCTCTTTCTTAGAAATGAACAAGCCGATGCCCGTAGAGCTAAGGTGGATGTGCCACTCAGCCTCTTTTCTCACTCCTAGAAATGATTTTGTAAGTCTGAGCATTCAAAGTGACCGCGAAATCGCCCAATTTTGGCTACCCATATTGTCAGTTGTGGTGATTTGTGGAACCCAAATACACTCTCCACTGGCGTCACTAGTGTGTGCCAAATGCAATTTATCTGGTTTTTCTGGCTTTAAATGACACTATATGGCGTGAGGAGAAGGGACTGGTTGGGTTAGAAAGAATCATCAGATGATAAGTGGTGTCCTTGATTTGAAAAAGCGGTGTCACTTGATCAGTGTTTGATCATCACGTCTACGGGGCTAGGTGCTCCACGATTGGTTCTTATCTAGCTTTATTGAGATTCCATTCTTTGAACTTGTGAAAATCCTAACTATGTAACCCGTTTTTCCTTTCTGACAGTAAATAAGTGAAGAGATTAGGTCCTGCCAGAAATGTCGGCACTGCCCATCTTCCTTATCCCCTCTGGCAACTCCATATCTTAGCCCATACATGCAATATTGAGTTGAGCATCCTGACTCCCTAATCTTTCAGACAT